AATTAGATCACTCGGTTTTGCATACACTGACTAGAACCACTATATTGAAGATAAGATGAAGGTTTATAGACAGTGGAATTGCAAGCTCCTACATAGCTAGCGTGAGAGTTTTGATGTGGCTGTTTGGACAGAAAAGAGCCCTCACTATAGATCAATTACATAATAAAGCCATGATCATTACATCTGGTTGGATCTGGGTCCAACTCAGGTGCATAGACCAAATGCTAATTTGGACTCCTAATTTCAGGACTGGTGGGCAGCTTATATGGAGGATCCTATTCGCAGCGGTCCTTTGGAATGTCTGGAAAGAGAGGAACATCAGAATTTTTTAGGCAAAAGGATAGACATAGCTCAAGTCTCTCATGCTATTAAAAACTCTATCACAATTTAGGCACAGGCTCTACCTCTTTTTTAAACTATACTCTAAGAAAATCTCTTCACTCCTTTTAAGAAGATCATCTCTTTAAAATGATGGCAACATACTCGATCGAGTTTTTGGCGAGCACCTCTGGACCGTTGGGTCAAGTTCCACTGGAACGTTGGGTCAAATTGAACGTTGATGGTAGTGTTAGACTTGAGGAGCAAGTAGTGGGTTATGATGGTCTTCTGCGACATTCAAATGAAGCCATTTATTGGTCCTACCATGGTCATTTGCATTTCTATGGGATTAATGAGGATTAATGAAGCAAAGTTATGGGATTTAAAGTTCGGAATATCCAAGCTGCACCCTAGCCACTTGCACTTGAATATATAAAAGGTGACTCTACAAATGTCATAGCACGGTACATCCACCCTGAACACATGCTTTGGTTTTGGATCTCTATTATGGATGAGATTACACCTGCCTTGCAGGGGAGAGAAGTAATAATATACAGGCCGTTGTTCGCAAATTGAGCCAGTCCAACTTGGAACCAGTTGGTAAGATTAGAACTGGGCACTAGCCGATCCTATTTTGGTGCTCTGGCATGATATTTCAAAAAAAAAAAAAAAAATTCAAAATAAATATTTAAAATCCCAAAAAAAATAAAGAATTTATTTGTAATGTGTTTTTGAATGCTTTTTTTATCATTTGGAAAATATTGAAAAGTGTTTTGGTCACAATACTTATGTTTACATTTTCCCATCTTTTTAAAAAAATTTAAATATAGCCTTGAATATAAATCGATTTTTTAAAATCCGTTTTTTACTAATTTTCAAAATGTGTTTTGTTTAATCATGCTTTAAATATATTTTTCATATATTTTTTTAATGTTTTGTATTTATTTTTTAGACCGGCTGGAACCTACCGGTACTCAGACCCGTCCCTTGGCCGATTTCTGATGATTGTTCGATTTTTCGAGTACTGATACAAACACAAACACAATGCGCATGATAGAGAATCTGATCGACTAGCCAAGGAGGCAAATAGACCTTTGCTCCCTTTCATCTCCTCCCATCTCACTTGTATCACATATGTCGTCTATTCTCCCTCTTATTTTCTCCTTTCCTAAGGGAGCACTTCACTTTTTCCCTATTTGTTGTTGTATTTCTTTATTTTCTCAATGAAAATTATTTACTGCTTAAAAAAAAAAAAGAAAAAAAAGATATATGTCCTTTTCATTCATCTTTGAAATTTGCACCTTAAAGTTTGTAATAGTGTTTTGAAAATTTTACATGTATATCCCCTAGAAGATTCTCTTATTTAAAATTTGCCCCAAAGTTTTATTTTTTTTTTTCAACTAAATTACTCCTACGTCGTGTACTTTTTTTTCTCATAAATTTGAACCTTAGTCAAAAGATTTCCTACTCTCGCAGGAGTACACTCTCCATTTACTCCGTCGGGTAAAATTTACTCTAGGGATGTCTTTTTTATCCCAAGTTTTGGGGATGTGATCTCTAGAATCAGGCAAACGACCTCAAAAAAAAAAAACAAATTTCAACTCTCACTCTCTATGTGCCTAAAAATAAATCATGCCAAGATTGCACCAGAGCCATCCAATTTTTGGAGGTAATAATCTAGATGCTTTATGAAATCAAAATCTAAAATTTTTCATAAAAATAATCATCTATTTACAACTAGATGCATCTAAAATTTTTCATAAAAATAATCATCTATTTACAATTAGATGCATCCCGAAACTTCAAATTAGGAAAAAAAAAAAGAGTAGATATCTCTTAAGTTAGTGTTTTGCCCAAGGGAGTAAATGTATAATATGGCTCCTGAAGGGATATAGTATTCACGCTTTAAATCTATGAATTTATGTGAAATATCAACTTGTTGGACCTTGAAAGTCCCTATGCAAATTTTTACATAAATCTTTCCCCATTCGAACTTTCTATATGCAACGTTTTTAAGCTAATAAAATATTAGAGGACCCAACAACGATATTATATCGATGGAAAAGATGCCAATTGCTACGCGTCCTTATGATGAGCTTAGGACCTTCAAAGTCTAAAGCTGTATATTAATAAAAACTAACTTTAAACATTTAAAGAAATAAGTTTACGATAAAAGAAGAATTAAGCTTTAGACTTCCAAAGTTTGAAGGGTCATCGGAAACAACGACTTGGGCCGAGTACTCCGCCGAGGCCTTAGCCAAGTACTTGGTAGGAGTTGGGCCGTGGGCTAGCCAAAAAAGTGTTTAGAAATAACAAATAAAAAAAAAACCAAGAAAAATAGTAAACATATGTTTAAAAGTAAAATTAAACAAAATACATCTAAACGAGGTTAAAAAATTAATGAAAAAATACATTTTGGAAAAATCAATTTGTGCTGGGGATATTTTAGAAATAATAAATACTTTCCAATATTTGTCAAGATGATAGAAAACATAAAAAATTATGTTATAAATAAATTTATTTTTCGAAATAAGAGTGTCCAGATTTTGTTGAGTATAATGATAAATTATTCCATAGTATGAACACCCTTACATAATCTTTATAGGGTGCTCATATTATAGAGTAATTTATTATTATACTCAACAAATTTTGTAGACTTCTATACCCTTGTTTTGTTATATAGAGCATTTTTTTAATAACTATATTTTTGGTCATTAGGAAGAAATGACATAATCCACATGAAATGTAATATCACTCATATGGAGCACACTAGTTGTATTTAAAGATCCATGTACAACACAAAAATATATAAGTGTCCAATTTTGTTGAATATTACCAATGCCTTTCAATCACCCATATATAAAGGCTCCATTTCTTCATTTTATTTCTTTTGATATAATTGTACCATAATCTCTATATCCTTTCTTTTGATATAATTGTACCATAATCTTTATATACTTTGTAACCTTCTTTCTTATTAATGAAAAATGAATAATGGATCCCATTGATTTATCAAAAAAAAAAGAAAGGAGCTCATTTAATGTATCTTACGCTTATTTCTTGTAGATGCCTCTTTGAAAAGCCTTACTATCATTTGTCTGTTTCTCTTTTCGCAAGATTGAAAATTTTGTTTTGTTTTTAGTGATAAGTTAGTTTGTAGATTGTTTTTAATAATATCTTTTGCTCTTGTCAAAAACAAAGTCCAAAATCCTTGAGAAGGTCAGAACAAGGCCTGGCCTCAAAGAGGCAAAGTATGTTTTAAAACTCGGTGACTTTTTATTTTGATTGTCAATTGTAGAATCAATTCCAGAACGGTATGAGTCTCAACTTTTATTTTCTTTTATTTCTTTTTTATTGTCCTTGGTCCCCCTTAACCCCCATAAACCTCTATATTAATTTTTATTTTTTTTAATTTTTTTTGTAAATCACCAATCCAAATGATCAGCAAACAATCCAAATTTCATATCTAGCCGACTCAAATAGATATCTAGGGTAAACGATCTACTCCACCAATCCATGTTTTTAAACACTGCAGAAAGGTCGCACATAAATCTCACCAAAAGTAGCAAGTCTAGCAGTTGGAAAATCCTTAATTGACCATCCCGACCTCACCATAATGGATATGAAGAAAGAGGATTTCAAGCCCTAAGAACAAATAACCTTGTGAAAACATTATATGCAATATTTATTTTCATGTGTTTACATATCCACCAAACTTCTTCCTTTTTAAAACTTCAAATTATGTGAGGGATTATATACAATGGGACCATTTACCTTTGATACAAGGTGGTCACAATTACTTACAACCACTCGATGTGAAATTTAATAGCTTGGATGTGTAACAAAATTCAAGAAATTTTTTTTTTGAAGTTTGAGCTTGGTCAATGGAATAATTGCAGCCACTCAATTTCACATTCAATGTTCACCACCTTGTACCAAAGGTAAATAGTCTCATTCCATACTTTCTCATTATATAATCATGGTTGAAAATATATTTTTAAGCATAGGGATTCCAAACATTGCATATAATTGGATGGTTCAATTAAAGATTTCCAAAAGTATATTGCATATATTTCAATATGCTACGAGGCTTACTTCTAAGGGGTGGCTATGGGTCGGGTCGGGTCGGGACTCAAACCCTGATCCGACTAGACGCGGACCCAAATAATATTCAGGTCCCATATTTAGATCCAAAACCGACTCGTCGGCCCCAATTTTTGAACCCACATCTGAATCCGCAATGAGTTGGTCTTGGGTCGGGTCCGGTTTCATAGCCATCTTTTCACTCCGTACATACATTTTTCCTGAAATATTCTGGAGAACACTCGAGTCAAACTCGTTATTGACAATAACGGGAGGGGCTCTCATGTCACTTTCATAATCATTACCATCAAGAAACTCACCATGTCTTGTCACCGTCCCCAAACAAACAGGGGCATTCTCGTCATTTCGATCCACTCCTGAAAAATATTTTGTAACATTTTTCTTACGATTATATATATATATCATAATTATGTATATCCAGTGAATTTAATGCCCCATTAAACCACTAACTAATCCCACTTATTTTTTAATATTACTTACTAAAAAAATTAATTTCTTGACTATTTGATTTATTTTCAAATTTCTCTGATCTTATTTATAGACCCAAAATCCTCGACTTTTTTCTCGAAAAAACCAGAGAGAGGGGGAGCGAGATATGGGAGCGGGATGGATAAGAGCCAAAATAGCCCTAGGTTTAACGTCTTGCACAACGAATTCCGATCGTCGACGTCATGATTCCAGCCAATGCTCACCGGAAAATGACAATGAACGGTCGGATACTGTTAAAGATCCTGGTTCCGGCGAAAACCCGTCAGAAAATGCAACTCCGGTAACTACGCCTAGGGTCCTGTCCCAGAGCGCTTCTTCGAGTCCGAGGCTCCATTGCCGTACGCAAACGAGTAGTAGCCCTCGCCTCCAACTCCCAAAGGTAAATTAATGGCTTTGAATTTCAGTTATAGAGAAGCAATGGATTTGAATTTTGGGAATTTGTGGCGCATTTTTTTCTTCAAATTTGCAAGAGCTTTTTGTTGATTGATGGGGTTGGTTTTTTATCCGTATTTTACTTTGAATTCGTTTCTTAATTGGTTAGTCCAATAAATTTCAATACAACACTAATTTTTCCCGAGTCTCCGTGATTAAAATGGCAATTACCTTTGATAATTTTGCTGATTTCTTCTCATTTACTGCGTTTCCTCTCTATTTTGGCCATTGAAATGGCGATTTTTTTTTTCCATATTTTGCCAATTATGTGCTTTCTCTCTGTCTCTCTCTCTAAAAACAGGTATTAATCCTTGTTCCTCTTTCTCTCTCTAAAAACAGGGCACTTGCGGGCTATGCCTACAAGCCACAAAACCTGGGCAAGGCCTCGCCATCTTCACAGCCGAGTGCTCCCACTCCTTCCATTTCCACTGCCTCGCCTACCACCTCAAACGAGGACATCACACATGCCCCCTCTGCAACTCCAAGTTGGCGCACGTGCCTATCCCCTCCCTCGACGCCAGTTCCCCACGTGTCAAGTCCTTCACACGAGACAACTCTTTGACAGGTGAGAACCACCGAGAGATCAGGGTCTACGACGACGACGAGCCGCTTCACGACAGAAAGACCGGCCGGTTCTTCCCCATACCTGAAGCCGATGACGAGTTTGAGGTCGAGGCCGCAAGGCGGGAGATCAGGGAGAGGAGGGCCGTCCGATTGAGCCTCTTGCCTGAATCCAACGGCCCCAAACTGTCTGAGGATTTTGGCGTTTTAATACGTGTCAGAGCTCCTAAGGGTTTTGCCACCGGCTTTCGCAACCCAAAAACCGGTTTTCAAGGAGGAGGAACCGGCTTTGGAGGCCAAAACGGTTTTGCGGGACCGAATTTTCGGCCGCCGGTTGATGTGGTGGCCGTCGTTGACGCTGGCTCAAGCGTTCGAGCTGATGAGTTTCAGAGTGCCAAGAGATCGGCTCGGCTCCTCGCTTCAAGCCTTGGCTCGGGTGACCGGCTCGCTTTGGTGGCCTTTGCATCGTCTTCAAAGCGTCTCCTCCCTTTGATGAGGATGTCGGCTCATGGCCAGCGCGCTGTAAGCCGGGCAATGGACCGGCTCGGTTCCGGCTCTGGAGATGATGGCTCCGCTCTACTTGAAGCCGTAAAGAAAGCCCGCAAGATACTCGACGACCGTCGAGAAAGAAACGCAACGGCGGCTATCATAGTGCTAACGGATGCTTGCCACTCATCGCGAAACGCCACGCCACGTGGCTCCGCACCATTAGGCAATGTCGGTGCCCCAATCCACATTTTCGGATTCGGGGACGTGACTGGAAATGACTTCTCATCGGATGGCTCAAGTTGCACGATCTTGCAAGTGCGAGACGAGGAGGATTTCTCTCGCCGAGTTGCCAGAAATCTGACGTTCGTCGCCTTGGATCTAAGGCTCGAGATCGAATGTGACGGTACGGCCGCAGATATTACTGGCGTGTACTCGGCGAGTAGATCGCGGATCCACCACGGCAAATCATCGGCAATCATAAAAATCGGCGATCTGCACACCGAGGAAGAGAGAGAGATGCTTGTCGAGCTCAGATTTCAAGCCAAAATCCCGCCGAGCCTCTTAGCCGTTAAATGCTCATACAAGGACCCACTAACCAATGAAACGACCACGGGTGAGTGGCTCGAGATGACATCATCGACACGCGGCGATGATGTCAGCACTGCAGAGGTGGAGAGGGTGAGGGGCAGGATGCGGGCAGCTTGGTGGGACGGGAGCCCTAGGACTGGTGGCGGCCGCGGCTGTCGGATCGAGGGCTCCACTTGGCGGGACGCGAGCCCTAGAATGGGGGATCCGGCGGCCACCGCTTCTCTGTTGGATACGGTGATGAGGTCTCAAGTGGACTCGAATGGGGAGCCGCTCACTCCGACATCGGCATGGCGTGCGGCGGAGAGGCTGGCACGTGTGGCATCGGCGAGGAAGTCTCTCAGGCCTTATGGGGACCTCCATGGGCTCGAGAACGCTCGCTTCTAGTCGATCTTTCCACGTCAGCAAAACTGTTCATTCATAAAAAAAACTAAAAAATGACTACAGGCTCCCGGAGATGTCAGCTACAGTATGGAGTGGAATTTGAGGCACACGATAGCACGTGAGAGTAACATTTCTGTGAATAGGAGAAAGAGATATTGGAGATTGGAAAAAGAGCGGGGTTCTGTAAACGAATTTGTCTTTGTACTTTTGTTAAATTTTCAGTTATATTTCTTCTTTTTTTTGTCTAATTTATTTGTTGATTTTTTTTTTTTTCTTTTTTTTTTTTTTTTTTGTTTGGTGGTATGCTGAATCATGGTTGTTGTTGGGTTGGATGGCTAAGTGAGGAGGGTTTAGTCTTAATGTATGTTCATGATTGAGTTGACATTGGCATAAAAAATAAAAAATATGGGGAACAATTTTGGTGGAACTTAATTTTATTTATCTTCTCTAAGGAAATTTAGCTTGATTAACATGGAGGTGGACCTTGATTGATGACCTTCTTGATCTTCTCCAAGGAAAATTAGCTTGATTCGTTTCTCTTCATAAACGCTCATATGTTTAAAGCTGTTCAAAACTCAAAATGAAGACCTTAACTTTTCTACTCAGATTCATGTCCACCCAAAGCTCGGAATCAGACCCCTACTCTTTTGTTTGGCCTTATTGTTATCATCATTAAAGTTTTTTTTCAACTAATTGGGACTGATTACATAAATCTCGGTCCACCATTTTGTTCTATCAAAAGTTATATGCTATCAGTGTGCCTATAAATTCCCATATATTTTTTCAATATCTTTTCTTCTAGTCCGATTCCAGTCCATCTAAACTCGAGTAAAATTTGAGTCAAACCATACTACTCTTCGCAAAGAAATTGAAAGACAAGCTAAAAACCGACAGAATCAAGGCAATTCTTGGTTTCCTCCACTTGAATTAGCCTGGCTTCCAATCCTGAGCCGACTCAAGCAATTCTTCAGTCTGATCTACTCTAAAGAAAGCCTTTCTCTATAATGTTTGGGTATTTTTATTTATTTGCCATTATTGAGCAACTAACCTCTTGACTTGTCATCAATAATTTTTCCTCTTGGGGGCTTAAATAATTAGGTACTTCCACATTGTCTATTTCCTTATAATAATTAATTTACCAAAATCTACATCATCGCATAAGAATAAATAAAATGATGCTGTAATAATTTTGGGTGTCCTAAGCAATGTTTTTAAAAACTGCCTCGGTACTTGGCACTTGGCCGGTAAGTAACTCGGCCAGCAACACAAAACGAATGAAAGGTTAACAAATTACAAAAAATTATTTAAAATCAAGCAAAGTTAAAAGGGTTAATAGGAAACATGGGGGAGGAGGTGGGGAAGGTATGGAAGTCTTCAAATGATATTAAAAACTAGCAAAAATCTTTCTAAAAAATGTCTCTAACCAATTTAGTAGTATTATCTACTCTATTATATTTTTCACTTTTTTTTTATATATATTTCAGTGTTTATTTGGGCTTGGCAAATCGGGCACCCAAATCGCCCCTCACTCTCGTTGCCATTAGGGATTGGCCAAGGCCAAGTAGACTCAGCCGAGTCCCATAACATTGTTCGTAAGTCATATAAGAATAATTATGATGGAAACTAAGTTGTAGAATTTCCTTTTGTTCTTGTCAAAATAAGATTTACCAGTGCCCAGTGCCAAAAATATGTTATTGTTCCTTCTTTTATCATTCATAAAAGAAAATGCATATTATAAGACAATTTATTTTTTATATGAGGAAGAACATTATTGATTATTAAATCCAGTTGTTGGCGATATATCATTGATTGGGCACAAAATCTAAAAAAAAAAAAAAATTGAACGCTGTAATACACTTTCAATCTAGATTTCACCAGCATTTTGGGACCTAGCTCGGCCAAGGTACTTGGCCCTTGGCCGAGGCAAGTTACTCGGGAGAGTTCGGGTAACTCATCCGAGTCCAAACCAAGTTAAAAAAAATAAAAATAAAGCCCAAAAATTTAATATATATTAACATGATTTCCAATATATTTATATAAAACATAAAGTGGCGTATTGGTTATCTTTACCACCCTTGCACGCCTCTAGGTTCACGGGGCTAATTACAAAAAAAAAACAGAAAAAAAAAAAAACAAAAACGACATGAGGCAATGTTCTCGGGGAGAATGGAACCCACAACATAATCAAGAATAGCGATACACGCTACCCAACAAACAATTTGAACATTTTCATAGCTTAACAATTTGAACATTTTCATAGCTTAACAATTTGAAAACGTTTATATGACGTTGCAACCTTAAAATGTAGAACTATGGAGGCATCTAAAAAATCTATTGTAGGAGGTTGTTTTATTGTTGAAAACCCTCTAATTGAACATCTTGACGTCAAGATGTATGATTATGAAGGAAAAAAGGATTTTGAATTCCAAAGTGTATCTTACAACACTTTATCTAGATCATACATTTTCAAAATTCTCACATGTTTCTACTTGATTTTAACCATTTTTGGAGTTTGGAATTTTATATTCAAATATGAAAATAGATTTTGAGATAATCCCAAGAATATTTTACATCAAAATTTTAACCATTTTTGGAGTTTAGAATTTTATAATCAAATATGACAATAGATTTTGAGGTAGTCCCATGAATATTTTACATCAAAATTATATGTTATGATCAAATGTGAAAGTGCGCCTTAATTGGATTGTTTAAGGTTGCAACTTTATGGAAACCACATCTTTATATATATATATATATAACAAATACCTACATGATGTACAACCGCCTTGGGAAAAACTCTCATTGTCTTATAGGGTGAGGCCGAGTAACTCAGCCGAGTCCGAGTGACCTTGGTCGAATCTTGAAACTTTAGATTTCACTTCCAATGACTAATAGTGATTGTAATCTCTTTGTAACAAAAATCAATGGCTTTATTCTATATAATCCCTTTCAAAACGGAAGAGGGTTCATATATAATTGGACTATCACCTGTTATAGGGAGTATCAAACTTAATTTCGATGAGAGCTCATTAGGAAACTCATGCCTATCTAGGGTTGGGTGAATTTTGCGTGACACAAATGGAGAGGATCTTTTGTTTTGCCGGCTCATGTGGGGAGGCAACGGCTAACGAGGCGGAACTGGCTGCGTTAGAGTGTGGAATTCAGATTTTGACTCAAAAAAATATCAAAATGCCATGTATTGTCCTTGAATGTAATAAATTGGTATAAAAGATTTCCAGGCCACCATGGAGTCTGAAGAGGAAATGGCTAAATATAATGGATGTATGCGAGGGTCTCCAAATCTCATTTCTGCATGTATATAGAGAGGCCAACGATATTGTTGATGGCTTGGCAAAACGAGGGGTGTCTATGCATAATTTGTTTATTTCGGATGGTTTTCCTTTTTTATTGGTTATAATTTTGACTGATTAATAAAGCGTAAGTAATATTGTCAAGATAAATAAATAAATTTTGATAGCCTTTTATTACAAAATGACGCATCCCAACCATCCATTTCACATCGGTTTTACATTTAAAATAGCTTTGAATTCATTCCCTTAGTATGACATAGTTGACGTTTTTAGCATTCTCATGTGCGTAGTCATTGAGATGGGACCAGTTGGAAGGCTAATGGGTTTCTTGGGCAAAACGAAAAAAATTAATCTGGTTGAAAACTGAATGTTTGATTGGTCGGACTAGCTGGTTTTGATTAAGTAGACCAACTAAACAACGTTGCCATTTTTTTGTATTTTTCAATTCTAACTTTTTTTATTTTTTTATTTAGAAAAAACCAAAATCTGTCCAATTCAAGCTCCGATTAAACACGTTTTGAGTCAGTCTTTTGACTTGTGGAGGCACCCTAAGTTTTGGCTAAAGGAATTTCATGTATCACACATACCGTGAAGCTTGGGCGGGCGGGGTGAACCAATTGAGCTTTTCCCATACCAGGTCAGCAGCTTGTGTTTTATTTTAGCGTGAGGAATCCTCTAGGCCCCATTTGGTTCCCTGAAAATGGGTGTCACAGGGAGATACTTCTCCTGGAATTAGTATCTCCTAGAATTGACATCTTCTAGAATATCGGTATTTGTTGTTTGGATAGCATTAGATAAGAGATTTGAAACATGTTGTTCATGATTTGGATTGTATAAATATTATTGTGTTATAATAATATTTTATAATATAACAATTATAATATTTATATATATATAAATAAAAGAGACTACAAAACCCCTATGAGAGAAAATGAACAGTATTTTCACCTATAGGCTCGGCGCCGTCTGATTTTTTTGGATGGTGTGGATTAAAGACCGTCACGAACATAGTATGTCCATGGAGGACAATCACGGATATAGCATGTCCATGACGGGATATTTTTTCACGTAAAATTAACGCAAAAAATATACAGGGACTGCCATGACTCCCATAGCTTCGTAGTAGTTTTTAGGTAAAACCGTCGCGGACATAGCATATCTGTAAAGGGGACAAAACGCTGTAGCAATTCGCTTATAAAGCATTTTTAAACTTTATATATATATATATATATATATATATATATATATANAGTAGTATGGTACGGTTGTAGTAGTAGTACGGTACCGTAGGTACTAACTAAACTAAGTAACTAAGTACGAGTACCCTACTACGTAACTAGTAGA